CTTGGGAGACTGAGGCAGGAGACTTGCTTGAGCCCAGGAGTTGGAGGTTGCTGTGAGCATGATGCCATGGCACTCTACCCAGGGGGATAGCTTGAGGCTTCGTCTCAAAAAAAAATAGTAGCCAATAATTCTAGGAAGATTTGCTCAGAAAACAACATAAAGTTGATGAAAACAACAGTTGCATTAAATTATAAACTAACATCCCTACATGCTCTAAACTGAGGAGAGCTGTACACAGCCATTTGGGCAGCAGTTGAAACTTCAGGCAACAATCAGGAAAGGAAACCACAGCAGAGCACTGAGGGAAGAAACCCTGGGGCGTGCAGGGAGTGAGTGAAGGGCCGTGCCACTGTAATCAGTGGGTATAGAATATAACACACGCATGGAGCCAAGCACTGAATTGTTCTTTCTTCTTTTTTTTTTTTTTAGAGACAGACTCTAACTCTGCTGCCCAAGCTAGAGTGCCATGGCGTCAGCCTAAGCTCACAGCAACCTTAATCTCCTGGGTTCAAGTGATCCTCCTACCTCAGCCTGAGTAGCAGGAACTAGAGGCACTCACCACAATAACTGGCTAATTTTTTTTCCATGTTTAGTAGGATGGGCTCTCACTCTTGCTCAGGCTGATCTCAAACTTCTGAGCGCAAAGGATCCTCCCCCCTCAGCCTACCAGAGTGCTAGGATTACAGGTATGGCCAGGACTGAATCTTAAAAAGAACTGAGCTACCTGCTAAAGAGTTGGAAAAGAATTTACTACTGAGATATGGAAAGGAATTCAGTGACCAGAAAAACTATGTAGATAACATGGATAAACTTTGACAAGTTTATGGTAAGGGAGAAAGGCAGCCACAAAAGGCCATATATCGTATGATTCCATTTATGTGGAATGTCCAAAATAAGCAGATCCACACAGACAGAAAGTAGACTGATGGTTGACAGAGGCTGGGGGCAGGGAGGAACAGGGAGTGACTACAAAATGCATCTGGGTTTTCTCTCTGGGATGATAAAAATGATCTGGAATTGCATAGTTGGCAATGGTTACATAACTGTGAGTGTACCAAAAACTATTAAACTGTATACTTTAAAAGGGTTAGTTCAATGGTATGTAATATACATTATATTTCAATAAAGCTGTTATAAAAAGAAAACAAAAGGAATAGTAGAAGGGAAGATAAGACTTTTGAAGCTAAAACATTTTTAAGGACACAGATAAAGAAAATGTGCTTAATTTCTAAAAGGAGAACCAAAGATTAATTACCAAAACTGCTTAGCTCCCCTGAACAAATACCCCACAAAGCACAAGGATACACCATGGACGTCAAAGACTGCTCAGTCAAACAAGCTCTATTAGGCACACTACCGTTGGGTGTTTTCTGGTCCTGAAATAGTTTAATATCTTCCTTCTTGGTCCTAAAGGAATTCCCATCTCCTGAAGATCTCTGTCTGTACATAAAGCCTAAACACAGAAAATAAAAAATCTTTCTTATTTGTAGACAAAATAAAATAATTTAATCACCCTTAGACAAATAAGACCCAGGTGTTTGGTGGTTCTATGTTTATTGTTTTGAGTTCCCTAGTGGGAGCTTAATAACTTCAAGAAATGAAAGCCCATTTTATTCATAAAACAGCCTAAAGAAGAATAGAAAGCATCAATACTGTAATATCAACGTTACAATAATATAGACAACATTGTTACTATTTTAAAAAAACTGAAGACACTGGATATCTAATGACTTCATGACAGCGAAACCTTTCCCCACTCACTTGCGTGTCACAATCTGAAATGGATCATACTCCCACTTGCGGACACAGCAGTGAAAACAAGCAGCAGACACAGGAGTACGGGCAGACTAACAAGATCTGAGTGACGATCTTGTTAAGAAAGTCTTCCTTGGCTCAGCGCCTGTGGCTCAACCGGCTAAGGCGCCAGCCACATACACCTAAGGTGGCGGGTTCGAATCCCCAGCCTGGGCCCGCCAAACAACAATGATGGCTGCAACCAA